TATGGGCCTCATTAGGGCAGAGGAAACTGGTATGGGCCTCGTTTGGGCAGAGGAACCTGGTACAGGCCTTGTTAGGGCAGAGGAACCTGGTACAGGCCAGGCCTCGTTAGGGCAGAGGAACCTGGTATGGGCCTCGTTAGGGCAGAGGAACCTGGTACAGGCCTTGTTAGGGCAGCGGAACCCGGTATGGGCCTCATTAGGGCAGAGGAAACTGGTATGGGCCTCGTTTGGGCAGAGGAACCTGGTACAGGCCTTGTTAGGGCAGAGGAACCTGGTACAGTCTTAGTTCTGTCTGAAGAACCTGATACAGACCTTGTTTAAAATAAGCAACCTCAAAGGTTTAGCTCGGACTGAAAACCCTGGGACCAACCTGGGATTGGACTTGTTAGGACTAAGAGACCTGGAACACCAGGGTCCGAGAGAACTCTTTTTGTCTGAGATCAGACTCACCTCGACAGTTGAATTTTGAAGTATCATAATGTCGCTCCGCACACCTGAGGAGAGAACCACAGCTTTTCAGAACCATCAGAACCACGAGTCTGATCACATAAACTAAGACACTTTTCCTCTAAAAGGATCTGACTATGAAGAGAGGATGGAACCTAAGACCAGGACTCACAGGTTGTAGATCTTGTAGTGATTCTTGTGCTTCGAATCCAAAAATCTGAAACAAACAGATTTACAGATACAACGGATTATGGAGCGGTTCTATTAGAGAAGACCTTCTGAGTACAGTTTTAATGGTTCTGGATCAGTCAGCATTTCCTGTCTGAGTTCCAGAGTTCTAAGAAACACATTTTATTTAAAATGATCTAAATTTTTCTGAAGGAACAGGTTCCTATGACAATAATTTAAAAAGTCACCATAACCCATACCAAAGAAGCACAACAGAACAATGAGCTCAGACAAGATCCATGGTTCTAATGCTAACAAGCCACAAGATTCTGGTTCTGGAGACTCACCGAACCACGTCATCAATGTTGTTCCTGTAAACGCCCTCCAGACGCTCAGCAGGGAACCCCATGGCAATGATGTTTGGATAAATATCTATTCCACCAGTTCAGGACAGATATGAAGTTCTGTGCCATTAACATGTTCTAATGGGGTTCTGCGTGTCATTAACATGGTCTAACAAGGTTCTATACATCAGTAACATGTTCTAATGAGGTTCTGTGTGTCATTAACATGGTCTAACAAGGTTCTATACATCAGTAACATGTTCTAATGAGGTTCTATGTATCAGTAACATGTTCTAATGAGGTTCTGCGTGTCATGGTCTAACAAGGTTCTATGCATCAGTAGCATGTTCTAATGAGGTTCTGCGTGTTATTAACATGGTCTAATAAGGTTCTATACATCAGTAACATGTTCTAACGAGGTTCTGTGCATCAGTAACATGTTCTAATGAGGTTCTGTGCATCAGTAACATGTTCTAATGAGGTTCTGCGTGTCATTAACATGGTCTAATAAGGTTCTATACATCAGTAACATGTTCTAACAAGGTTCTATGCATCAGTAGCATGTTCTAATGAGGTTCTGCGTGTTATTAACATGGTCTAACGAGGTTCTATACATCAGTAACATGTTCTAA